GGAAAGAATTTCAACCTAACTATGTCTATAGTATCAGCTCGACTATGAAAAGTAGCTACTACCTCCTCAAACTCCCTAACATGCACATATGGATTTTCATTCTCTAAACCATGAAAACTAGTCAAAAGCTAAATCATTCTAGGTTTGAACTCAAAGTGTGGTGTATTAAGAGGAAACATTATGCATGATGGTGTAGCTGTTCTAGTGGGGTGTAAATAGTCTTTCAAAGTCCTAATAGGTTGATCCCTGTCTTGACTCATGGTTTCAAAATTAAATGATGAATTAGACTTGACTTCTTCTTTGTGAAAGGGTGGTGGATCTAATCTAATAAATCTCCCTTTTCGTCCCTCGATCTATTCATACACTCTAATCTACTTTTTTCTTTTTTCATTTTTTGAATGAAGAAAATAAAATAAAAGCAAGAAAGTAAAATAAACTAAAGAAAAAGAAGCAAATAAAAGAAATAAAAGAAAAGTGAAAAAAAAAATGTTCAAACCTTAATTGTCGATTTGGCTTCCTCAGGTACGACGCCAAATTTGATGTCTCACCCAAAAATTAATACCCTTTGACTAAGCGGTTGTTGTAGCATAGCTTTAGGTATCGAATCCACATGGCAACTATATTAAACCAACAAAAAGAGTTGTCACAACAAGAAATTAAATTAAAAGATGATTTCTCAAATTAAGAATAAAAATATTTAAATAAAAGATGATAATTATAAAGGATTGAAAACAATATTATGATGAACAAGACTTCAGAGTTTACTTAATTAATTTGTTTAACTGTTATAAATTTTGATTCATATTTATTACTCAATTGCATGTTTCACATCCCAAACAAACAATCAAAAGATTTAACTTTGAAGACCAATAATAATAACTAATGTATTTATTTTGAGAGAAATTAATTTCAATGAAAAACAAACTGATCTATCATTGTGAGCTATCCAAGAGAGACAATATATCTAATCGACAATACTGCAGTAAAGGATCAACCCGCAAAACAAATCTATCAATCAATTATATTCTAACAAATTACACATAAAAAGAGCATGACTAATCTTATATGAAATTTGATGAATATAATTGTGAGGGTTTTCAAATTTGAAAAATAATTAATAATCTCTCAAAAATAAAATTAAACAGCAAAATCTATGAAGGAATCAAAATAAAATAACAAGTCAAACTCCTCAATTAAGATCCTCCCTAACCTTGTTGAGAGTTTAGTTGCACTTTGACATAATTTTTTAGCACTGGAAAAGAAGAAAATAAAAGTCTAGGAATTACTTCTCTAGATGTTAAACCTAGTTTTTAAGGCTCCTATTTATATTGGGAATAGAATAGGAGTGTTTGGTAACTGGGATAGTAGCCCTGGGGAATTTATTTTATTTTATTTTTTTCTTCCCGCACAGCCTTGTCGAATAAGGGTCTTGTCGAATAAGGGTTGGAACCTCAATGAGGGTGCAGAACCCTTGATGCTTCTATTTTGTTCAACACTGTTCAGGGGTTGGAACCTTATATAGGTTGTGGAACCCCTAATGTTACTGGAAATCCTTTCACGCTACAAGTCACGGCAACTTCACAGACTTTGCTAACTTTGCTCTTAATGAAAAATGGAGAAATTTCACTTGAGCCTTCAAACTTCCAGATTTATCCTTGGACCCTCATCTTCCCAGCTCTTTGCATTTAAGTTCTTTTCTTCTAATTCTTCTCCATTTAATATCAAACCTTCAATCACCACAAAATTTGCACAACATGAATAAAATGAACACTTATGAAATTACTTGTAGAAAAATAAAACTCTTAAACCCATAATTCCACAAATGTCAATGGTTAAGTACACTTTAAATATACATTTTCATGCTTTTGTCAGTATTGGAGTTGTAATTGCCCATTAGGTTGTTAACATGTTTATGAATTTGAATTAGATTTAGTAATGATTGAATTTTTAAATTGTAGAGCCATGCATGTTTCATACATTTGTTGGAAAAAATGGATGCACATCACTTATCATGTTCTTCACTGTTGTGACTTTGAATTTAAGGTGAATTTATTTGATTCATTGAGTATTTTTCGCTTATAAATTGTTGTTCTTTGATTTTGGCTAGGTCATTGAACAAGTTTGGGGGATGAGATTATGAAAATTCACATGCTTGAAGTCTCCTCCAATTGAAAAGAACTCAACTTCAAAACTTGAATTTTCAAGTGCAAAACCTAGGAAGTTTCCTTAGTTTTTTACTTTTATTTTAAGTTGAGGACAATGTTTGATTTAAGTTTCCAAAGAGAATAACTTTTAGGTGTTCATTCTTATATTAATTTGCATTCATATTTGCATGACATATATTTTTTTGCTTTTTTAGAAATTAGGATAATTTTTTTTTAGGAGTTAGTCCAATCAATGTCAAGGAATTGAATATTCTTAAGTTAGAAATTCAAAAACTTTTAAAATCTTTGAATTTTAGAAGAGATACAAAATCTGAAAAATAACACCATTTTGATGAAATTTAAGTTCATGAGTATTATATTTCATTTGAACACAAGTTTGTAGTGAGAAGTTTAGAGAGAAGACTTAGTAGCACCTAAAAAGCACATAAAAGAAAAAGAAAAAAAAAAAAGAGAAGAAAAAGAAGCCAAAACACAAAAGAGTTTGTTAATTTCTACTTCAATATTTCTAGTTGCTTAGGAACTAGGGGTTAGGCATGAGACCCATGTCAGCTTTCACGTCAAACGGTGACTTGAAATATTAGTATGCAAAGCACTATGAGTTTATGACTTATTGAGTAACCAGGTGCTTTCATTACAAATGTTAGTATTTGCATCAAAAGACAAGTGATAGCTCTAGGAAGAATATGTTGTATGGGTGAAAAAAAAAAAAGAAAAAAAAAACGAGAAGTCGAATGTTTCATGGCATTTGTTACTTGAGTAAGTATATTCTCAGGGGTGCCTTTTCACCTAATGCCCCAAAGCCAATTGGTTTGAAAGTCATTGGCAGAAAGCTCATTACATGGGTAGCTTAGAAAGCCTAAGGGAACTCAACATAAATAATAATAAGTGCTAAAATGTGAAGGTCTAAACTTAAAACTTCTTACTCTGAATTTTCACACACACTTAGTACTCATAAGCTATATCTTTTGAGAAGTGGTGTGAAGAATAGGATGGAGTATTTGACTTTAAGAGAGTGTATGAGAACTTTTGAATATTTGAGACTTCGCATTTAATTGAACTTGAATTCCTAAATTTTCTTTGCATGGATATCATGTAGTTGCATTTTTGCATTGGGATTTTATGGGTAGATCCGCTGAAAACCCTCACGAGACACAACCCGTCCACTAGGATGACTCAGGAGTTTAAAGGCTTGTTGCAAATGTTAAGTGCAATCATGATTCCTACAAAAGTTAATTAGGTTTTATTTTCTTTTTATTTATTTTTTTTATTTTACTCAATGATGAGTAAAACTTAAGTTTGAGGGAATTTGATGAATTAAATTTTTATATATATTAATATGGAATTTTTGCCTTAATATTATTGGTATTTGGATGAATTTTATGAGATTTTACTTAATTTTATATAATTTTCATTTTTTATGTAGGAAAGTATTTAATCAGAAACATGAGGATTAACTTGTGCAGAATTCAGAAGTTAGGGGCCACAACTATCATTTTACCATTAACAGAAATTGCTAAAAAGGCAAAAAAGCCGACACGGTGATTTTTGTCTGTGCTTAACAGAAAGTGTCAGCACCTATTGAAGGTGTTGACCCCTTATGCAATTTTCAAAAAATCTATGCCTATTTTATTATTTTGGCATAGGTCCCACTTCTATTCCAATTAGATTTTTTAAAATCCTATAAATACTCATTCAAGTTTAGAATTAAAGGGAGCCTTTGAAGGCTGGTAGCAACCTTTTTTTGAACACTCTTGGAGATTAAAATAGAAGATTCGTTAACAATAAAATATTAAGAATTTCAATTACCTCAAATTAGGTTTTGTTTTTCTTTAAATATTCTTAAATTCATAATTATGATTTCAAGTTTTATTACTTTTATTATGAACTAATTTATTTTACTAGAGCTACGATATAACCTAGTCAATATAGTATAAATTTTGTGATTTTTATACTTCAAATTAAAGTTATTCGCACAATGAGTTTATGTTATTGAACTTAATGCATTGAAAGCCTGATCACCTTTTAATTCATTTACTAATTTATACATGAACTTAAGAAAGAATTGCGTAAATTAAACCAATAATAATATAAATCATGTGTTAGACTATGAGATTGAAAAGTAATTAACGTCACATGTAGTAGTGGAGGAAAAAACGAGAGTTAAGAGCTCTCCTTTTAAAGTTAGAGGTTTCTATAGTATATCATACTCACTAATTTGTTTTATATTACATAAAGATATGACTAATTTAACAAATAAGTGAAAGATTAACTTAACTTAAGAAAACTAGTTAATTAATTTAGGGAAATTTGTCATTATATGCTATAACACTCAACAAATTGGTTTTGAAAGCATATTAATTCAAAATTTATATTAATTGATTATGGTAAAGTTGATGCCTTAGTACCTCATATCTTAATTAGTTTTATTTTAATTGTTATTTTCTTTTTGATATTTTTAATTACAGTTTATTTTTTTCAATTGTTCAAAAAAATTTAAATTAATTATTTTTAGTATTTAGTTAATTACAATTCTCGTGAATTCGACACTTTATTTATCATTATATTACTTAGAGTAACTAATACATTTATTAGAGTGATTTTAGTGCATCAACCATATCTTTCCCACTTGCTTTAGTTACCCTACCAACAAAAAGGTAAGGAAGTGCTTAATTCAAACGTCTAGTCTATCTTGTAACATTATGTGGACTTTGTCGATGAAAACAATTCAAATTTATGGAGCAACACCATAAAAAATTTAAAATTTCATATTTTTGGGTTTCTGTAGCAAAAATAAGAGGACAAAAAACAGCACCCACCAGCTATTCTATTTATAAGAGATGGGTAATTAGCCCTTGCATTCGGGAAAGGAAGAGAGACAACACTGAGAAGTTCATCAGCAAGTAACTGGAAGCAAGTAAGTTATATGTTAATTTTTTTTCTTAGAAAGGGAAAAGAACCATTGTAGAAATCAAGGATCATTTTCTTCTTTACAGCAAAAGTTAGTTATCACAAAATTTTGAAACCACTGGCCCTAAATTCGAAATTAAGGTTTTTGAAGTAGTAAGTATTAACTTGGCTATGGTCTTTTGCCTTTTAGAAATAAAGGATTATTGGAAAATCAATCCTCATTTCTCTTTTTTCTGCTCTGACCCATTCTCCAGTTTGCTCCTTTGGATCAATTGAATTTGATGATGCCTTCGGCTCTTCCATTTTTTCATTCGTAATTTAATTTTTACATGTGATAAACTAACCTGGAATTTCCAAGGTATATGATGTTGAAGGCTAAATTTAACTTTTCATCTACTAACTATTATTCTAATTTCATTTTAGTCTAGATAGTTTAGTTTCTTTCAAATTCATCTATAAACTGTCCAAATCATTTCAAATTCATTTATCTAGCAAACTTCCATTAGTTTTTTTAACAGAATCCTATGGCATGATTTCATGACACGTGACATTTGCAATTTTGAAAAATTGTACTTCTTCCCTTTTTTTTTTTCATTTGTACATCTTAATAATATTTCACTTTTCCCGTGATAATTTTTTATTTTTTATTTTTTATTTTGTAATAAATCTATATCTTTTAATTTTGATTAACAACTAAAAAAATCATCATTGTCATTATTATGATAAAATTATATTATTTTCTTTTAAGATTAATGCGGATTAGTCTCGAACTCTTAAAAAAAATTAGAGTTTCAACTTATATTTAGAAACCAATTTAAAAACTTAAATTTTAATTCAAAATTAAGAATCTAATCAGTTTTTAAATTTAAATATCAACATTTAATAAAATAAACTTTTAAATTTTAAATGAAGTTTTAATTTAATAAAACGAAATAATTTAAGGTTAAAATTTTAATTTTTTTGGAGTTGAAACTGACATGTATTTTTTTATTTAGTTCAAAAAATTAATTTTTATCTATACTCTCTCTTTCTCAAAATAATTTTTTTTAATTTTTTTAAATTGAAAATTTAAAGATAATTTATGTTTACTTGTATTACCCTTAAAAAGAAATAAAAAATAAAGAGATATGTTTTGTGATGGGATGGTTAATTAAAGTAAATAGATAATAACAAATATATTTTTTTACTTTAATCTTATTATTATTTATTTACTTTAATTAATCATCTTATCACAAAAT